CTGGTCAACAGTAGGCTATTAGCAGTTAATTTTGGGGGGAGTCAAAAGATATAGATTTTTGAGGTGCCCGGGTGGCTCAGTCAGTTAAGCTTCTGCCTTCAACTTAGGTCATGATCCGGGGTCCTGGGATTGAGCCCCGAATGGGGGTCCCTGCTCAGGCTCCCCGGGGAGCCTGCTTCTCCCTCTACCTGCCATTCCCCCCCGCTTGTGGTCTCTTTCTCAAATAAATAAATAAAATCTTAAAAAAAAAAAAAAGTAGTTCTCTTCCTACAGTTGATCTTTTAACAACATGGGTTTGAACTACACGAATCCACTTATACAGATTCTTTTATAACTACAGTACAGTACTCTAAATGTATTTTCTCCTTCTTATTTCCTTAATAACATTTTCTTTTCTCTACCTTGCTTTATTGTAAGAATACAGTATATATTACATATACAAAATATGTGTTAACTACGTTTTTGGGTAAGGCTTCTGGTTAACAGTAGGCTATTAGTAGTTAAGTTTATGGGGAGTCAAAGTGATATGAGGATTTTTGAATGCACTGGAGGTTGGGGCCCCTAACCTCTGCATTGTTCAAAGGTCAACTGTAGTTTGTTGAGAGATTTTTTTTTTCTTGATCATACCTGCATCTATTGAGATAACTATATTTTCTTTTTCAGTGAGTTACACTGATTGAATTTTAAATGTTAAACAGTCTTGCATTTGTGGAATAAACCTCGCTTGGTCTTGATGTATTATACTTTTTATATGTCCTGTATTAAACTTGCTCATATCTTATACAGGACTTTTATGCCAATGGAGATATTAATTTATAATTTTCTTTTGTTATAATTGTGCTTAACTCATTTTTAAATGTTCAGATAATCATTATAAAAATTTTAAAATTTCCTTTAATGTATACATACATATTGTTTTTTCCTAGAAAAACATATTTGAAAATAATTTTTTTTAAAGATTTTATTTTATTTATTTGACAGAGAGAGAGAGACAACGAGAGAGGGAACACAAGCAGGGGGAGTGGGAGAGGGAGAAGCAGGCTCCCCTCAGAGCAGGGAGCCCAATGCCAGGCTCAATCCCAGGACCCTGGGATCATGACCTGAGCCGAAGGCAGACGCTCAATGACTGAGACACCCAGGCGCCCCTGAAAATAATTTTTGAATAAAACACCTTTTTGGTCAATACATAAATACTTCAAGTATTAAAAATATATTAAAATAAATACGGATTTACTTGATTTTTATCATTTTTACTCCTCTTTTAGCTCTCAAAGGTGTCACAGATGGGTGATAAATTTTAGCGGTCATTTATTTATTTATTTATTTATTTTTATAAAGATTTTATTTGAGAGAGAGAGAGCGTGAGCACATGACTGGGGGTGAGGGGCAGAGGGGGAGGGAGCAGCAGACTCATCACTGAGCAGGAAGCCAGATGTGGAGCTCCATTCCAGGACCTAGAGATCATGACCTGAGCCAAAGGCAGATGCTTAAGAACTGAGCCACCCAGGCACCCCATTTAGTAGTCTTTTATTAATACGTAGGGAAACTGTTGAGTTAAGGACAAGGTTGGTTCTTGCTTGCTTTTAGGCCCTCAGATAAAAAATAATTTTTTTTCCACTGAAACATGACCCTCTGAACCTTTTGCTGGAAACTGAACATAGGCACTCAAAAAACGTCCTGTGAAATGATTTCTCTGTTTATTGGGCCACCTAATAGGGTCAAACACATTGATGGCTCTCCATAAGTAGTTTTTGAAAATTAGTAACCTGTATCTTTTTGTCCTTTGGAGTTAGTATAGATCTGATTCTGAGATGCCTATGGATTTATTAGGGAGGATTAGAAAACCTACCACAGGATAATTAAGGCCTCCTCTCTAGCAAAGCTTCATATTAAGCCACAGTTTATACTGAGATGCACAGAAATTACTCTAGATCATTAAGTATTTAAAATATATATATTTTATATATTTACATAAAAATAGTGTTTTGTTGGCTTCAAAATAATAAATGTATAATTAAGCTATATATATGATTATGTTGTATTAAACTTGTGGCAATCTTTATAGAACTTGTCTTCATTCTTTTTTAAACATTAATGGAATAAAATATAGATAAGCATTTCTTCTTTGAGTTTCTGCATTAAAGGCACTGGGGTAATTTAACAAAGCAGTGCAAAAGAAACACTAAATGTGAGAAAATACTTCATTTCAAGGAATTATTCATAAGAGGGCAAAAGTAACAGCCAGACTGAGCAACCCAATTCCCCAGGAAACTTCATCAAATGATAACCATATTAAGCAGAGTGCAGGATGAACTATGATAGGTGTGCATGGTGTATAATAAATAAGGAAATGATAACCCCAAAGGCCAGCCAAAATACAATAAATAGTAGATTGGATTGCATTTGTCAATAGAAAGCCTTTGATAGAAAAATTTCTGGATTTGCCAATAAAAAACTACACAGCATATGGTTCATCAAAGCAGGATACTTATATTTTTTTGAAAAATCAAATGTTTTAAGTAATTTGTGAAATTACTAAAATTTTAAATTTCTTCACAGATCAACATAACATGAAAATTAGTTTAAAAATCTCTGAAAATTCAGTGTAAAGTTTAAGCTTGCATTAATTTCCAGTTGAGTAGAATGCTTTTACACTAACAGTCATACAGATTTTTCTAGAACCATTTATTTGAATAATATTAATCATTATATCATAACTAAAATACACTTAGAGCATTTTTATTTATTACAAAGACAGTTTTTTGAGGGGGTCTTTGGCTACCTTGACTTATACCTTGACTGTAATTTTGGGAGTAGAGTAATGCAGTTAGACTGTAGGAATCAAGAAGTGGTGGTCATTTCTTGTTTAGCTTGCATTTCTCTTGCTTTCTTCTGAGTTTATACTTCAGTATAATTGAAAACCACAGGGGTTCAAGACCATTAATTTCTCAAGGTCAGTCCTTGATGCTAGGCTGATTTTCCTTGTGTTCATTTCTTCCCTGCTATACAGGTCCAAGGGCTTCAGCCTTATCAATCATTCTCTTTAATATCATTAGCATCTTCTCTAGTGTTCGATGGCTCTATAATGAGGAGGATATTATCTCTTCAGCTCCTACTTCCCTAGAAACAAGCACAGGAGACACTTTTCATTTAAGAATTTTACTGTTACTCACTGTAGGACAGAGTTGTGATAAAAATGATCAGACAAAAATCACAATGATTAAGAAAACTTACATTTTTTTTAAACGACTTTATTTTTTTTAGAACCATTTCACACAAGGAAGGTGCAGAGAGTTTCCCATATAAGCCCTGCCCCACCCTTATAATGTTTTAATGCATATTGTCTCCTCACAATTTCCTGATATGGGAAGGCCTAGAAACTCTCGGGATTCCTGTTCTAGTCTGTTATTTTTGGTGGCAAATATCATGTATTTCCTGTTTCCAGGCCCAAAGATCCATTTCTCTGTAAAGGCCTGTATTCCCAGTTACATAGACCTGAAGATGCCAAATGATAGATATATGTCCGAGTTACTTTTGGGGTACACATTTCAGGGCCTTTCTGTCTTGACTCCCTTCTCAGTGGCCTCACAAGTCAACCTACAGCATGCTCTCCTATGATGTTCCTCATCCACACCTTTCTTTGAAGAGTCATGATTCCTGGGTGTCTTGGGGATGATACAATAAATAAGCCTGAATGAGTGGATCTTCAGTTTCATTAACGCCTAATGCCTGATACATCCTGAGGCATGTGTTACGGATGTGTTAGTTTAGCCCAAAGGTGCTCTTGTCAAGGCTTATATATAAGTCACCAAGAAAACACCCCTCCCCCCCATTCAGTGTTTCAAATATCCAGTTTTAGGTCCATCCTCTGCCTACACTATCACCACCCTCATCCCATAACAAGTCACAGACGCCTGGTCTGGAGGCTCAATAAAAGGGTGAACTCGGCTGTGAGTTAAGCCTTAGAGGCCAAAATATCAATTTCAGCGAACATCAAAATTTTATATATCGTTCATGTCAGTTAGGGGAAAAGTAAACTCAAAGTGTTCTAAGATAAAAGCAAGTTACATTACTATCCTGATGAATAAACAAGATGATGATGGCTATAATGATGTCTGTTCTATGGATTACTGGCTCTATGATTAGGTAATTGAAAAGACAAGTAGGAACACCAGGGGTTTATGGAGGTAGCAACTGCAAGAAGCAACTCTGCCCTGCCCGCCAGATAGGTCTAAGGGAACAAAGGGAAGAAACTGGATTGATTGATTGATTGATTGATTGATTGATTGATTTTAAAGATTTTATTTATTTATTCATGAGAGACAGAGAGAGAGAGGCAGAGGGAGAAGCAGGCTCCCAAGGAGCAGGGAGCCCGACGTGGGACTCGATCCCAGGACCCTGGGATCATGACCTGAGCCGAAGGCAGACGCTCAACCATCTGAGCCACCCAGGTGCCCGAAACTGGACTTATTTAAACATGGAAGTTTGAAGGTGGGACTTCGAGGGGCCGGCCCAGACTTCTGAGGGGGGCTTGCTGCTTGTCTGGTGCTGGTGTCTCTATGGGGAGTCGTAAGACTGGCGTTGCAAGTGTTGGAATAGCTACAAACTGCAATCAAACGCTGCTCTCGGAACTAACTGCTCAGAACGGGAAACAATCAGGTAGGAACAAGCAGCTTGTCCCTTCTCCGGCGTCTCACGCTCCCTCCACCGCCCCCTATCGGCAGACTTAATAAGTAGCCGCAGGCAAAGCCGGAATGCAGTTTGAGAGTCCCCGCTCAAGCCCAAGCGTCACACCACGGCATGTGGGAGGGTGAGTTTGAAGCCCAGAGGCACAGTATGGTAACTGACGTACTGAACACGGAACCTTGAGGGCATATTTAGTGGGTGGAGTGGTGAAAGGAGGAAAAGGGTTATAAAAGGAGAATCGGGTTGGTAAATGTCAGAGAAGGAGGTAAGAGGTTTTTAGCAGTGTTAAGTGTTGTGGCTGAAGAAAGACCATTGGTTTCACAATGGAAATTTGGCCAAGAAGGCTTGTGTGGAGTCACTGAAACAGGCACTAGATTATAATAAAATGGACACAGTGTATGTTGACTCCTTTTTCAATAACTACAAAAGGAAGGAGGTAGAATAACCTAAAAATAAAGTACTTTATTGAAGATGGGAAAAAAATGACTGCAGCTATAGAAAAAATATTATGTGGAAAGGAAGGATGATTTTAACGGAATTATCAAGGTAAGTGATAAGGTGTTTTGCTGAGAATGAATGTAGCTGTAGTGGGATTGGGACCTGGGAGAATGAAGATGGTTCAGAACACTTCATGTGTGGGATTTAACAGGGGCGGGAATATTCCAGATCTGAGACAGTAAGAATCTAACACAGTGATTTCTAGAAAATCTTTAACCCAAATCAGGATTAAGAATTATATACACTTGGATCGAGTATGTATGTAAGATTCTAAGCCTCCAGTTTTGTTTCTGTAACCCAGGGTTTTTCAAATTAGGTGTTATTGACATTTGGAGTGAGATAAGTTTCATTGGGAGTGGGGGTTGTCCTGTGCTTTGTAGGGTGTTTAGCTGCATCCCTGGCTGCTACACACTAAATGCCCAAAGCAAACCATCCCCTCCCCAGCATCATGATAATCAAAAAAATGTCTTCCGACATTGTCAGATGTCCCTGGGAGGCAAATTACCCCCTGAGAACCACTGCACTGCTCCAAGAGATCAACAAAGGCTCTGCTGATAAGTTGGTTTCTGGTTGCAGGGCCCCCTTGGCAAAATCTATATTTTCAGCTTCTTGTCCTTTTCTGGAATCTTGGTACCTCCTAATCCTGGTTGGGTCGGCACTTCTGATGTGGTGTTTTTGTTTTTTTTTTTAATTTATTTATTTTGAGAGACATACAGAGAGAAAGAGAACGCATGCGTGTGCAAGTGCACACACGTTGGGGGAGGGGCAGGGGGAGGGGGAGATCATCTCCAGCAAACTCCGCCCTGAGCACGGAGTCTGATGTGGGCTCAGTCTCAGGATCCTGAGATCATGACCTGAGCTGAAATCAAGAGTCGATGCTCACCAACTGAGCCACCCAAGCATCCCACTTTTGATGTGTTTAAATAGATGTTTTAAAAAATGTGTTTGCTTTTCTACTAGTCTCTGTGGCCATTTTGTTCTGTTGAAAGATATCACCTAATATTCAGAAACACAGTTTCAAGGAACTATCTTTTAATGTTATTATTTTGTTAATTATATTATTTTTCCTTATCCTAACCACTGATCAGCAAGCTTCAACAGGCCAAATCTGCTCTTGCCTGTTTTGGAAGTAAAGTTTTATTACAACATAGTCACACTATCATTTCCAGATTGTCTGGCTGCTTCTGCAGTAAGACTGCAGAGTAGTTGCCCCAGAGAGCTAAGGCCCTCACTTCACAGTTTGCCAAGCCCTGCTCTAGATCTTGGATACCATGAAGGTAGGAACCAAGAGTTTGTATCTCTAATGTCTAACATATTATAGCTGAATGACTGCATATATTAATTTTCTTCAATTTATCAAAAAATATACATTGAATTCAATCACTTTGTTTTTAAATGTCCAAAGGCAACCAAAGATTGTCTACATTATTATGTGTTATTTAGGTTAAATGGCATGGTTGGTTGCGGGGGAGGGGCAGAGGGAGAGGGAGAGAGAGTCTTAAGCAGACTCCATGCTCAGCACAGGGCCTGAGGTGGGGCTTGACCTCACAACCCTGAGATCAATCAAGAGTCTGCCACTTAACCAACTGAGCAGATTCCTGATTGTATCTATTGTTTTATTTTTTTTCAGTCATAAACCTCCCCTTTAACTGTGTTACCAAAAAAAAAAAAAAAAAAGTATTATTTGTTACAAGGAGAATAGGCAAAGTAAATGCTTCAGTATAAATCAGTCATCCCTACCGATTTTTTTAAAAGACTTATTTATTTTTTAGAGAGAGAAAGAGTAAGCGGGGGAGGGGCAGAGGGACAGAGAGAGAAATCCTCAAGCAGACTCCCCGCTGAACGCAGAGCCTGACCTGGGGCTTGATCCCAGGACCCCAAGATCCTGACCTGAGCCAAAACCAAGAGTCGGCCGCTTAACCGACTGAGCCACACCGGCACCACTACAGAGATTTTAAAAACAGTAAATTTATTAAAGGTGGTCATTTACTTCATCTTTCTGTTACTAGAACAGTTCCACATGCATATTTATATAATTCATGGTACATGTTTTCCTTGAAATTCATCTGGAGAATATAATAATTTATATTTGATATATTTGATAATTATTTAATAAGCATGCCTTCCACATAGTTTCCCTCAAGAGGAGATAACATTTGAAACAGGTTTTTCTCATCTTTCACAGACAACATGAAGTAGAGGTAAGTGGCTCACAAGTAGACTCATAAGCCAAAGAAAAGAAATGATTTACTAGCTTAGTTGTCCTTGGACCAAAATAATATTCGTGTTGTTGTATGGACAGTTGTTACCTCTAGGCTTCCACTTTAAAACCTTATAATTCTTATTAATGATTTGTTTTACTAAACTTTAATGATGAATATTGTTAGTCAGATGTTATCCTGAATTCATTTTGCATCTTTAATATTAACATCTGTGTATTTGTCATTCCATTAATTCGGTGACAAAAGCATGTTTACCATACTATAAATCTTATCAGTCTTTGAACAAAAGTGACTTAAAACTCTGAGACAGTGTTATTTTATGACTTTGGGTTGTACCTGGGTAGTATCTATGATTTTTACTCATCTCTTGAAGGCTATTGGTAACTCTTAAAGATTTACATCCCAGGGTTTCCTTAGCCAAAACAATTTTGTAAAGAAACTAAAGGGTTTGTTTTTGAAATGAGTGGTTATACTAACTAGAAAGCATGCCTCTGTTTTACAGGGCTTAAAACAAAGTATCTTGCATCATTCCAACATCTGGATTTCATTTATTGCTAAAGCAGGATAAGATGGATTTGGAAAGAACAGAGTGAAATCAGGCTTAATGATCATTATCTTAATTTTGGACTGAAAATTTCCCTGCAAGTCAGGCTCTGTCATGTTTAACTTTGAATGTGCACTTCACAGGAATAAAAGTTGCAATGACCTAACCCACTCCTGTTCTCCCTCTGACTTCAAAAAAACTACTTAGTGAAAAATTTTGGAGTAAGAGACGTAATGTTACTTGAAATTTCTGTGCAAGGGTTCTGTTAGACTTCACATATATATATTTTTTAACTGCCTGCACTTGTTTAAAAACTTTATTCCTCCAAAAGTACAATATACTTGCTCTGGATTTTACAGCTTTTCAAATTGATTATCTAAATTTGGGTGACTCTTGGATTTTCAAAAGGCATTCATAAATGAGATACATCAGAAAGAATGATGTATCTTATGTGTGCATTAAATTTTCCTATAATGATAACATAATTTAAAAATTTTTAAATCTATGCAAACGTTTATGTATGTTTATGTGTGCCTTTCAAAAAACTTTTCTCACATTTTCTTGAAATTTTGTAAATATTTGGCAGATGATTTTCTCAAACATGACTTTAAAGTTTTGATTTTAAAACTACTTAAAAAATTGTTTTATACCTTAAATTGAAGGTATTAAGCTTAGGTTTTAAGTTCTTCGACATATTTTAAAGATTTATTTATTTATTTTAGAGAGAGGGAAAGGGAGAGAGAGTGTGTGTCTGTGCACGTGCAAATCGGGGGAGGAGCAGAGGGAGAGAATCTTCAAAAGCAGACTCCCCACTGAGTGTGGAGCCCAGCATGGGGCTTAATCTCATGACCCATGAGATCATGACCTGAGCTGAAACCAAGAGTTGGACGCTTAACTGACCGAGCTACCCTGGTGCCCCTAAAAGCTACTTTTGATTTAAAGATAGAAAGATTTTTTTAAGACATTTAAAATTCTTGCAGAGAAGGAATTTTTCAAATATAATGACCCTATTCCCAATAATCCTAATCATTACTGGTATCAGCATTAAAAAGGAAGAAAAAGATAGTAATAGGAAGAATAGAACTAGAAATATAAAAAGAGACCTGGAAGTTTTATTTCAAATGACAAACTTCTCCTGGAAGTCAGAGCTCTTGGGTGCTGGAATAATTACCCAGGTTGAGAAGAATTAAAATGGAAGGAAATGCTATTTTTAGAGATATTTAAGGCCAGATCTGGCACAGCACTAAAAAACAAAATTCAGGAAAATCCCCAGAATGTGTTGTCAGGGCAATGACCTAAGTGACTTCCATGGAACTTTTTTCTGTGTACCATTGATGTGGGAGGAGGGCTCTGGAGTTTGGTTTGCTCTCCTACTGATTCCAGTGTGACCTAAGGCAATTTACTTGACCTGACTGCCAGTTTTCCCTCTCTCCAGAGAGTTTAGAAAATGACACTGACGGGCGCCTGGGTGGCTCAGTTGGTTAAGCGACTGCCTTCTGCTCAGGTCATGATCCTGGAGTCCCGGGATCCAGTCCCGCATAGGGCTCCCTGCTCGGCAGGGAGTCTGCTTCTCCCTCTGACCCTTCCCCCTCTCATGCTCTCTCTCATTCTCTCTCTCTCAAATAAATAAATAAAATCTTTAAAAAAAAAAAAAGAAAAGAAAATGACACTTACTAGGTGGAGCTTAATGTTTGTATCCACTTCAGGATTTCAAAGAGAATACTATCATGATGGAAAAAGTATTGTTGATGAAGGACAGTTGGAAGAAAGGCAGGCAGGGACAAGGGGCCCCCACGCTAAGAGGAAACCACCCTTAAGAGGATTTTACACCATCCTGGAAGGAGCCCTTCACCCTTCCCTACATGATAGATAGATGACAAAAACCTGGTTGGATGACAGGTGCAGGGAAGGTTAATCAAATTAAAACAGCCTGTCGATAAGCCCATACAAACCCCTAGACTTAGAAACTCCAGTGGCAACCCTCTCAGATCCCCTTCTTCTTTGGGAACTTTGTACTATCACAGTGCTATCGCTCAGTAAACCTTGCTTTGCTGCCCACCACTCTGTCCGGTCTACCTCTGCATTCTTCGAAGCAGCGTGACCAAGAACCGTGGGCGCTAAAGAAGAAGAAATCCTGGAACATTATTCTTTGTTACTCGTTGGTTCACAGAAGTTGAAACCTAGAATTAAAATTCAAACCAAATTTAATATGTTAGTTTCACTACCTTTACAGTGTTTCCATTACATTCAATGTGATTCTGTGCAATTTCATTCCAGGTGTATTTGCTGAGGAGTTACTCTTGCCTTCAGAAAACTCAAAATTTTGAACCCATAAAAATTGATTCCTTGACCCTCTTGGGAGGCCAAGGGCTTCCCTTGCTTGAAGAGCAGAAAAAGAATCTCCCAAGTCCCTATCTGGTTTAGCGGTTTCATTAACTCTGGATGTGATGCACAGTGGAAGATCGTATAGTCAACCCATCAGCAAATATATACTATTTGAGCTGCTAGGGAATTAGGAGAACCGCAACAGAATCCCAGTCACGGATGAAACCAGTTGCTCTCTCAGGCTCGTTTCACAGTTCTGTTGAAGGGTGTAATAATATTTCCACTACTTCATGGTCTTCTGAGAAACCTGAAAGGCAGTGAATTGGGAAAGTGTCCTGAGTCAAAAAATTAATAAATCACTACTAATTACAATAACAACAAAAAAAGCCCAAGTGCCTCCTACATTCCAGCACAGTGCTGGGCATCAATTTACCTCATCAATTCTTTACAATAGCCTTTTCTTTTCCACACATGAGGAAACTGACGCCTAGGAGCCACAGTAACCAGCTAGAGGGTGGGGGGCAGACAAATGCAGGCCTGTCTAATTCCAAAGAGGTATGAAGAGTAACGAATTCCGGTCAGCTGAACATATGCTCCTCAGATGCAGGAGTGGCCATTTTATGTTCTCTTTGCTCCATTATTGCTGGCCGCCTTGCAGGTGATTAGCAGTTTTCTAGGAAATTCCTCACTTCTGTGGGAAGCCTGTTGCACTGGCCTGCAATGAAAAGGTATTTCCCTCCAAAAACTTTCCACTAATGCCTGTGTTCTCATCCAGGAAGATCCCTCGTAGATAGCAAAGGGAGAAGTTTAAAGGGAAGATTTATGAAGCAGTTATTATACGCCAGGTACTTGTTTAAAAAATAGGTGTTTAAAAACATTTCACTTATTGCTTAGAGCAACTTTGAAAGAGAATACGGAGGTTCAGAAAAGACAAATGATGGGGGCACCTGGGTGGCTCAGTTGTTAAGCGCCTGCTTTCAGCTCAGGTCATGATCCCAGGGTCCTGGGATCGAGTCCCACATCAGGCTCCCTGCTCAGCGGGAAGCCTGCTTCTCCCTCTCCCACTCCCCCTGCTTGTGTTTCCCTCTCTCGCTGTGTCTCTCTCTGTCAGATAAATAAATACAATCTAAAAAAGAAAAAGAAAAGACAAATGATGCACCCAAGGCTGTGCAGAAAATAGCAGCAA